TTCTATCTTTTTGAATAATTTAAGTAGAATTGGTTGGAGGTCTTCTTTAAATGTCTGGTAGAATTTTGCTGTAAATCCATTTGGACCTGGGTTTTTTTTAGTTGGGAGGCTTTGTATTACTATTTCCATTTCCTCATATGTTATGATTCTGTTTAAACTGTTGATCTCTTCTTGACTTTGGTGGTTCTCATGATTTTAGATATCCATCCATTTCTTTTAGATTTTCAAATTTAGTAGCATATGGGTTTTTTAGATATTGCATTATAATGCAATGTTTCCCCTTTTATCTCTCATTTTGTTGATTTGGATTTGCTCTCTGTTTCTTCTGGTTAACTGGGCTGAGGGTCTGTCTGTCTTGTTTAGCTTTTCAAAGAACCAGCTCTTAGATTCATTGATTCTTTGCATTGTTTTCTTTGTTTTTGTTTCATTAATTTCTGCTCTGATGTTTGTTATTCTCTTCTGCTGGGTTAAGGTTTCATTTGTTCTTGGCTTTCCAATGTCTTGAGTTGCAGTGTTAGGTCATTTATTTGGGCTCTTTCTAACTTTTTAATGTAGGCACTTAGAGCTATAAACTTCCCTCTTAGGACTGCTTTTAAAGTGTCCCAGAGGTTGTGTTGTGTTGTAGTGTCCTTTTTGTTGAATTCCAGGAATTCTTTTATTTCTGTCTTAATTTTTTCTGTGATGCACTCATTGTTTAGGAGTGTGTTGTTCAATGGCCACGAGTTCGTATAGTAACCAGGGCTTTGTCCAGTGTTGATTTTGAGCTTTTTGTTTTGTAGTCTGATAGAATGCATGTTTTACTTTAATTTTTTTGAATTTGTTGAGGTTTGTTTTGTGGCTTAGTATGTGGTCAACTTTTGAAAAAGTTCCATGGGGTGCTGAGTAGAAAGTGTATTCTTTGGTGCTTGGGTGGAATACTCGAAAGATGTCTTTTAGGTCCATTTGATGTATAGTATCATTTCATTCAGACATCTCTCTGTTTAAATAAAGAGGTAGTGGAGTATTGAAGTCCCCTATTATTACTGTCTTGGGATTAATCTATGTCTTAAAGTCCTATAGTGTTGTTTTTATGAATTTGGGTGCCCCAGAGTTTGGTGCATATATGTTAAGGATTGTAATATCTTCTTAGTTAACTGTTCCTTTTATTATCTTCTTAGTTAACTGTTCCTTTGATCAGAATGAAGTGACCCTCCTTATTTCTTCTGATGAATTTTACTTTGAAGTCTATTTTATCAAATATTAAAATTGAAAGCCCTGCTTGTTTCTTAGTACTATTTGCTTGGAATATTCTTTTCCAGCCTTTTACCTTAAGGTCATGCCTTTCCTTGTAGGAGAGATGGGTTTCTTGCAGACAGCAAAGAGGTGGATTTTGTTTCTTAATCCATTCACTTAGCCTGTGTCTTTTGACTGGGGAGTTCAGTCTATTGATATATAAGGTTATTATTGAAAGATGTGTATTGGTTGCCATCATTTTGATTGCTGTTTATGTTCTCTGTCTAATTTTGTGTTTCCTAGATTATACTTTTTTAATTGTCTTTTGTTGCCCCTGGGGCATAGTTGTTTCTCTCTCTGCTCTCTATATTGCTTCAAGTGTTCTTTGAATGGCTGGTTTCGTGGACATGTATTCTTTCAGGCTATTTGTGTCATGGAAGATTTTTCTTTCCCCCTCAACTATAATAGACATTTTTGTGGGGTAAAGTATTCTGGGCTGGCATCTATTGTCATGTAGAACTGGGAATACTTTGGTCCAAGCTCTTCTGGCTTTCATAGTTTGCACTGTAATTCTGATGGGCTTTCCTTTGTATGTGAGTTGTTGTTTTTGTTTTGCTGTTTTCAGTGTTCTCTCTTTGTTCTGTACATTATTTTACTATAATATGTCATGGTAGTTTCTTTTCTGATCCTGTGTCTAATGTTCTATATGCTTCCTGTATTTGTATGGGGATGTCTCTCCTCAATTTCAGGAAATTCTCTTCTATGATCCTGTTTAATATCTGGTCAGCACCATTAACCTGAAATTGTTCTCCTTCCTCTATTCCTATGGTCCATATATTTGGTCTTTTCATGGTGTCCCACATCTCTTGCATATTCCATTCCTGTGTTCTTTTTAATTCTCCATAATCTTTACTTGAGTGGTCCAATTCTTCAACTTTATCCTTTGGTGTTGATGTTCTGTTTTCCATTTCATTCATTGTGGTGAGGCTTTCCCCTGTTGTTTCAAGTTGGCTCATTGAGTTTTGCATGTCCTTCTTAATTTCGGCCTGAGTTTTCTTCAATGTTTCTATCTCTTTTTTGAATTCATTCAGAAGTTTATCCTTCTTTTAGTTCTTTTATTTGTTTGTCTGTGTGTTCTTTAAATTTAATTCCTTGATCATGTCTATGATTGTTCTTTTAAATTCAGTCTCCTGGTTATCTCTAGGGGTTTCTCCATACAGAACTCTTCTACAGGATTGGTGGAGTTTGGTGGGGACATAGTGTTTTGGCTTTCCATTTTACTATTCTGTCTTTGTGATTTTGGCATGTGAACTTCTTTTATTGTTTATGATCCTGATATGAGAATTAAGTTGAAGTATGCTTCTGTTTGTATTATCCTAGTGCCTAGATTCTTTCTTTCTTGGTTATATAAAGGTGGTTGGCACAGGGTTCAGGTTCTCTCAGTTTTAATTTGGAGGGACCGGGTGGCTTCAGGTCAGCTATTCAGGAGTACCTACAGAAGCCCAATTCAGGTTCTGGCCAGGTACACTCAGGCTTCCTTAACCACATGGAGGCAGGATCTGGGTGTTCTCTGGAAGCCCACTCTCTCAGGTTGTCTGCTAAGATCTCAGCCTTGGCTTACCAAAGCCAGATCTGCCCTGGGGCCTTGGGAGGGGCCTCACAAAATCCCAGGTAGGGGCAGGGGTATGGCACAGTTAGGGGAAGCTCATCACCTTGTTGAGCAGGATCCGGGGCCTCTCAGGCAATCCCCTGCATTCTCAGCCCCTCTGTCAAGAGAGAGGCCAGAGGGAGGCCAGAATTCGGCACTCTTTAGCAGTCTTAAAATGACTACTTTTTGAAGGAGGACCAACTCCCAAATTTCAGGTGTTATGCCATACTATACTTACTTTTGATTCAACTTACTAGCTTGGGGGGTTCTCAATATGGCCCTCAGGGCTGATAATATCGCTGGAGTCAGAACTCCTTGGAAGCTGTTTTGTACTCCTGGTCTTTTTTTACAAAGGCAGGATATAGGTTAAAGTAAGCCAAGGGATGATGTACGTAGGACAGAGAACAGGTGAAGTTCCAAATGTGAAGCTTCATTTGTCTTCTCCGTAGGGAATTAGGGAATATTAACATTCTGACAACATGCAGGGTGTATTGCTAACTAGGGTTGCTTGCCCAGTCCCCAGAGTTTATAGATTTTGTTAGACCTCTGTTCCGTAGGCTTGATCTGTTACTGGCCACATGGTCAATCTCAGTCTCCAGGCCAGCCTATCCAGAGTCTCCACTCTAAATCACACTCTTAGTCTTTTGGGCTTCACCAAAACCTGCCTTAAGACTCCATGGGTCTGACCAGCTTCTGCTTTCAGTCGCATCATTAAATCATCTTGTGTGACAATAGACCTCCAAGCCAAGGTGTTGCTATCAGGCATCGACATTCTGAGGGCTCAGAGATTAGTGATTATTTTGCTAATGGTAACTAAATCCTTATATTAATAATTATTGTTGCATAACAAAAAAGCTAGGTAAAACAATGCATAATATTTCACTCTCAGTTTCTGAGGGTCAGGTATTTTGTTGGACCTGAATATGGGTGGCTCTGGCTCAGGATCTTTTCATGAAAATTTAGTGAAACTGTCAGCCAGAGGCTTCAGTCTCTGAAGGCTTAACTGGGCCTAGAGGATTCACTTCTAGTTTTAATTTTGGCAGAAGCCTTCAGTTTCTCGTAAGGATTTCTTCAGGTCTACTCCCAGTGTGGCTTTTACCTGAGCAAGTTAACAAGAGAGTGTGGTTACCTGGGTGTGGTGGTGCAAGCCTGTAGTCTCAGCACTTGGGGGGCAGAGGCAGGTGGATCTCTGAGTTCAAGGCCAGCCTGATCTACATAGTGAGCTCCAGGCCGGCCCCACTAGACGGAGACCCTGTCTCAAAAACACTAAAACCAAAAAAACAGCAAAAAAAAAAAAAAGAAAAATCAAGAGAGTGTGGTCATGATGGAAGCTTCATGGACGTGACATACTGTCATTTACGTTCGAATTAATAATTTATTAGACATTCCTTGTTTGAAGTCTTTAAATTATTTTCCTTTTTTTTTCTGCATTAGAAATGAATTACTAGGCTTTTGTAAATACTTTCTTTACTTATGGTTTTGACCAGTGTCTACATAATCTGACTCTCTAAGAACTGAATATTATGGAAGAACATCCTCTGGACTTTCCTACAGGAAAAGTGGAATTATGGCAAAGCCTTGATATGGTCCACTTTAGCTCTCTTCCTTGCTGTGTAGAATATTGAATGTAATTGGAGTTGCCCAATAACTGACCACTTGCTAAATGAAAACACTATGTAAATAAAGTTTTTGTTTGTTATTTTCTGTATAAATGTTTCACTCTCATAATGTATGTTATCTTTAGGATACTACAATAAAATGAAGGAAAAACTGGTAAGTATAGAGAATACACAAGAAGGGCATAGAAAAGTGAAAACACATACGAGATACATAACTGTTTTAGTTAGACTGTATCTGTCAACAGAAATTAAATATCTGTTAAAACATGCATAGTCCTATAGAACCATTTTAGTAAAATAATTTCAGATGTTTATACTGGATCAGAGCAATAATAATTGTAGATTTATTTCTATCAAGTGTGTCAGCTAGCTCTTTGCCAAAATAATATTAGAAAAAGAAATTCTAATGGCTTTTAAAATTATAATAGAGAAAATGTACTTCATACTTGCTGTACTATAATTCAAATATGTACATAATCAAAGCAATAATTTCAATGAGACAATATTTTCCCCCTTTCCAGAGACAAATGGAATCAAATTGGAACTTTGTAGAAGAACTTTTAAAACAGTCCATCAGTGTTCAGGTATGCAATTAAAGTGAGTCAACTTGTGCATTTCTATGTTTTTACGATATAAATCTTAACTTACAAAAACTACACTAACTTAAAATGAATTAAATGATACTTTATTCAAAATCTGTGATTCTTCCTTTGAAGAGTCAACTCACAATAGTCCCTATTAGTGACTATTTTTAAAAGATTTTTATTTTGGACACTGAAGTAGTCAGTAAAAGGACAAAGATAATTATCTTACTTGGTGACGTTGACAGAGTGTATTCAAAATAAATGGAAGCTACTTCAGTGTTATAGGCCATTCCTTGACTATATGCTATCAAGTCATGCGACACGAAGGAGATAGTCAGTGGCATTGGAAATTCAGCTGTATCCTCGTCACAGCAGGAAGGTGACTTGCCTTGCTGAGCAATTTGTCTTACAGGCTTGAATCATATTCTAACTGATAAGGCCCTAGTTTCTGAGCACGCATTTCATACCTTATCATTTTTCTCTCTGCAGAGCTGTTAATGTAGTACTTCATGGCCCAGAGGTCAGACTTGACCTCCTTTTAAAATAGCTTTAAATGTGCTGTTCATCTCATCTTTAAATATGTGTAACTCTGGGAAGTTTTGTAGTGTAAATAAGCCTTTATATATTAGTTTATGGAAGATTATGGTAAGGAATATTTTTTAATTTGGGAAATAAATTGCTTTATTAATGCAGATCATTTAAAACTTGAAGAGGAATAAAGAATATTGTAATAGTTTGCCTTGTTGGGTATACTTAGAAGCTATATATTTGAAAATACTACAGATGGTTGAGTTTTATGTACTATCTATACTAACTAGGTAAACATAAGTACTTCTGGTTATAAGAACCTTGTTGAGTTATATGCTAAGAATTCTAGTGTAAAATACCAAGAAATTCTACATGCAAGGGTTTCATGAAAAACAAAATCTAGTATTCTTTTAAAATATTTTTCTCAACCACTGTAAAAGTTATTCATGTTTTATTTTTCCCTCTATAATTTTAATTGTCCTTCTGTTTTAGAATATTTTGATTTAATAAACCCAAATGCTTATTTCAAGAATGTAGGGGATCAGGAAGAAGTCATTGTGAAATAAAAAATGTACATTAATTTGGCCATTACCATTTGTATCAGTTATTAAGTCAGTCTTAATGCTTTAATCATGTAAAAATAGGACTGAGTGTTGTACACACCTTTCATGCCAGCCAGCACGCTGGAGGCAGAGGCAGGCAGGTTTCTGTGAGACCGGGTCAGCCTGGTGTATATAATGAGTTTCAGGCTAGCTTATGCTACTGGAGACATTGACTCCAACAACAACAACAACAGCAGCAAAGCAAGTAGAAGTAATTTCAGTAATGTCTAGATAGTGTTATTAACAGTTACTGCATCTGAGCCACTGACTGGAAATTTAAATTTCCTAATTAAGTTGTAACTACTTTTGTCCTTTAAAGTTTATTCTCTGGGACTTATTTTCTGATTCTTTTATATTTAATAATTAAATTTTTCCCTTAACAGTCTATGAATATATACTTTTCTTTAGCTAGAGTTCAGTTATAAAATATTTCTCAGGAGATTCTAAAAGTTCACACAGGTAGATCAACAGACACACAGACAGATACATATACACCCCCATACACCACAGTGGTCAGGGACAGCAAAAGAGAGTTTGTCATTAATCTCCATTTTGTAGAAATGTTTGCCTTCAATTCATACTTCACTCCTTTCCTCTTTGGATTCTGACTCCCTGTCACTGACCTTTTTGTGGTGCTAAGGATCAGACTCAAGGCCTTCCACTTGCTAAGCACTTCTTCTTACACTGCACTACACTCCCTTCCCAATTTTGCTTTTAATGCATTGTATGCGTTTACAATATGCCTAGTATTTTAATGGTGAAAGTTTAAGCTGTTACTGAGATTTTATAGTCTTTAACAGTAGGTTGGTGACCAGTCATTTCACTTTGCCTGGCATGGGGTTTCAGTGCCCAAACAAGAAAGCCTTGAACAAACTAGGTTGAATCAAGTCACTTTGAAATTATGGGAGTTACCACTAAGTCAAGATTCTTTCTCCATCAAAGTAGTGTCTTCCTTGTGGTCCTGTAGGAAAAAGAAGCCCTCTGGTTTTCTGGGGCATTCTTTCAGTGTTATTGTATCATTTTGCATCAAATTATATTCAATAAATAGAAGGAGAATACTTACTGGAGTTCTTGAAGCCAATTTGTGTGGGAGTAAATGGTATTAAGAATAACTACATTTGAGGTGACTCTTGGGAAGGTGCACCCATGCTCTCAGGCATGTTTACATTCTTCTGGAGCGCCTCCCTCCTTCTCTTAACCCATACTGTTAAAATGTACACTGAAAAAGTATTAATAAACCCCAAAGGTGCCTCTCTCTCTCTCTCTCTCTCTCTCTCTCTCCCTCTCTCCCCTCCTCTCTCCCTCTTTCCCTCTCTCCCTCTCCCTCTCCCTCTGTGTGTGTGTGTGTGTGTGTGAAATTGAGTTACCAGTTGGAAATTGTATGTGCACCCCCCCAATATGGTAAAATCTGACTCATACTTTGACTTGACCTTGACCTCAAGTTGTGACAGAGTCCATTTGTGATGCAATGCTAGATTTTTTGTTTTTGAAAATCCTAACTAGTTTATTGCGCTTGTTAACAGAACATAGAGTCAGGGTTTATTGACAGATCATCCCCCCCCCCCCACACACACACTCCCATTTACAGCTGAGCTAGAAAGTCCACACTCAAATATAGATCATGTGACTTCGCAAGAGCCAGACAAAAGGGCATTCTCGGCTTGTATATCCTTAGTCCCTCCCCCACATGCAGCTAAGGCCGACTGATTGGGTGGGAGGGGTAATTGATTTGCCCCTCACTGCCTTGAGGAGCATGGGAAGGAGCTGTGATTATAGCTTGCCTGCATAGTGGTCTGAGGACACTTCACAACACTCCACACCTTCGTCAGGCTCTTACATTGTTCCTGCCAACCTCTTCCACATAAGTCCCTGAGCTTTGGAGGGGGTGATAGGTGTGGCATGATCTTCCTCTCATTATGGCAAGGAACTGAACTTTCATGTCTCTGCATCATGTTTTCCATGGGCAGTTGGCCCCTTCAGTGGGATTCCATCAACTGTAAGGATTTAGTGCTAGGATCTACAAACGAGGGAGAACATACATCTTTTGTTTGTCTGAGTCTATGTTACTTCACTTAGTATAACAGTTTCTAGATTCATCCATTTACCTGCAAATTTTATGATTTCATTTTTACTGCTGAATAGAACTCCATTGTATAAATATATCATGTTTTTGTTAACCACTCGTCAGCTGAGGTGTATTTAGGTTGCTTCCATCTCTTAGCTATTGTGAAAAGAGCAGTCACAACATGGTTGTGCAAGTTCTCTACAATAGAATGAATCCTTTGGTTATATGCCAAGGAGTGGTATAACTGGGTCATATTGTAGGTTCATTTTTACTTTTTTAAGAGTTCTCCACACTGTTTTCATAGGGGTTGCTGATTCCACCAGCAGTGAATCAGCACTGCACATCCTCGCCAGCATTTGGTATCATTTGTTCCCTTGATCTTAGCCAGTCTGACTGGGGTAAGATGAAACCTTAAGGTGGTTTTAATTTGCATATCCTTAATTACTAATGGTATTGAACACTTTTTAAGATGTTTCTTAGCTATCTTTATTTCTTCCTTTGAGAACTCTCTTTAGATCTTCAGCCCATCTTTTAATTGGGTCATCTGCTTTCTTCTTTGTTTTTTGAGTTCTTTATATATTCTGGATGTTAAACCTCTGTCAGATGGTGTCATTGGTGAAGATTTTTTTCCCAGTCTGTGGGTTTTCTCTTCACTTTCTTGATTGTTTCTTTTGCTGTACAGAAGTTTTTTAGTTTAATGAGGTCCCACTTGTTGATTGTTGACCTTAATTCCTGAGCAGCTGGTGTGCAATTTAGAAAGTCCTTTCCTATACCTATATCTTGGGGGTTACTGCCAATGTTTTCTTCTAATAGTTTCAGGGTTTCCAGTTTCACATTGAGGTCTTTGATCCATTTGGAGTTAACTTTTGTGCAAAGAGAAAGATAAGCATCTAGGTTCATTCTTCTACAGGTGGAGATCCAGTTTTGCCAGCACCATTTGTTGAAGATGATGTCTTTTCTTGTGTTCTTGGACCTTTGTCAAATATCAGGTGGCTGAAATTGTGTGTACTTGGATTTGGGTCTTCAATGATGTTCTGTTGATCTATGTGTCTATTTTTGTGCCAGTACCACACTGTTTTTATGACTGTAGGTCTGTAATATACTTTGAGATCTGGCATAGTAATCCCCCCAGCATTGCTCTTTGTGCTCAGGGTTGCTTTGGCTATCTGGAGTCTTTTGTGCTTCCATCTGAATTTAAGGATTTTTTTTTTTTCTAATTCTGTGAAGTATGTCATGTGAATTTTGATAGGGATTTTGTTGAATCTATATATTACTTTTAGTAGGATGGTCATTTTCACAATATTAATTCTTCCAGTGCATGAACATGGGAGGTCCTACCATCTCCTGGTGTCTTCCTCAATCTCTTCGTTTAAAGATTTAAAATTTTTGTTGTAGCAATCTTTGATGTCTTCGGTCAGATTTATTCCAAGATATTTTATTTTATTTTTGTAGCTATCATGAATGGGAGGGTTTCCCTGTGCTCTTTCTCCAATTGCTTGTTATCAGTATATAGAAAGGCTACTGATTTTTGTAGATTAATTTTGTAACCTGCCACTTTACTGAAAGTGTTGATCAGTTCTAGGAGTTTTCTGGTGGAATTTTGGGATCTCTTAGATACAGTATCATATCTTCTGCAAAAAGGCATAATTTGACCTCTTCTTTTCCAGTTATTACTCCTTTAATTTCCTTCTCTTGTCTTATTACTCTAGCAAGAGTTTCAAGCACTATATTGAAAATGAGTTGAGATAGTGGAATCCCTTGTCTGGTTCCTGATTTTAATGGGAATGCTTCGAGTTTTTTGTTTG